CTTTTTCTCTCTTTTTGAAAAGCAAAGGCAAAAATATGCATGTTTTAAAATAACACAAACTCTCCCCCACCCCACTTACAGCTGGTGTGTGAACACGTGGCCATCCTTACTGAGGCTGCCTCCTGTTCGGTTTGTTTGATGTGCTTAAGGAGAGGTGAAGCCAATCCATGGCTCTCATCCGACTGCAGGAAGAAGCCACGTGACATGAAGGAAGCCTCTGAGAAGCTCTCTCCCTTGGCTGAGTCAGTCAGCTAGTCCACACTCCTCCACATCCCAAGCACTTTGCAGATTTGTCAGATCCAGCTACACTCCTATATGCTTAGGGAAAAAGAACTTTGTCTACCCTTCTACAGCATCCAACTCCCACTAAGCCCCAGCCAAACAGTGGTGTAGGAAGGGGTGTGTGGTAGGTGCGGGCCGCCCCGGGTGTCATCATTGAGGGGGTGATAAAATGGCAAAAATATGTGTTTTAAAAACTGGGCTCACTAAAGGGTGCAACCCTTTGTTGCGGTCTCTAGGATAATCCAGGAACAGGGGTTGAAGTTGGTACAAAAATGGTACTGTAAGGTTATATCCTATTACAAAATCTGGAAGTAAGAATTGTTGGAGGAAATGCGTAGTGATGGGAACGTACAGTCATATGTGGTGGGATTGTCTGTTAGTTAATAAATTTTGGAAACAGATTGGTATAGAAATATTGGGAATTGTGGGTAGGAAGGTAGGAATATCTAAATTAATGGTTCTTATTAGTCTGAATAGCAGCAAGTTAAAAACAAAAGAGGAATGTAAATGGGTAAAATTGATGGTAACTGCAGCCAGACAGGTTATAGCAAGGAATTGGAAAAATGCAGAAGAGCTAGGGGTGAACCAATGGAGGAAAAAACAGAATAATATTGTAATTTTAGAATCTAAAATCTAGAATTTTAGAATCTAACTGTGAAGATACACAGAATGAAAAGGTTTAAGGTCAGCGAGAAAGAGGAGGAATGGTTTGAGAAGATATTGAATTATTTGAGTAGGTTTGAACAATTTGGGGAAATTAAAATATTAAAAGTTAAATAAACCTTGTGGATGGAGGAGTGTTAACGTATATAAAATTGTACATATGGTTGATTTGAATATGTTATTATTGATTATGTATACCCAATGTATCAGCCGCCTGGGGGGTTTCACTGTGTTTGGTTGTTGGTAAAAATTTTTTTTAAAAAAAATTAAAAACTGGGCTCATGGCATTTTTTTTGAAAAAAAAATAACTCCCACACCCACCGCACCCCCTACCTACAAAACTGGTAGCTAGGTGAGGCGGGGGGCACTGGGTGTCACACTGCGGGGCCTGCAACATGGCTGAGCCAGGCAACTCTCCTGAGGGGGAGGCGGCGGGCAGACTGCCTGCAAGCTCTGCTCTGCTTTTTCAAGTGGCACGGGGCTTGTATCTGCCCACTGCCTCAGCCACCCTACAACTGAGGGGGAGGCTGCAGAGAGGCTCCACGCAGCGTGCCCTGCAAATCAGTTTCATTTGTTGAGACATTAGGAAGAAAAGGGGTGGAGGGGGGAAGATGGGTGGGGGTGGGGGTGGGGTCTGGTGGCGATGTTTCTATTTTGCTTAATGTATGTAGGGTTTGGTGTCAGCGTTGCTTGTGCTGTTCACTTGTGTTCCTTTGGTGGTGAGAGAGGTTGGGGTTGGCCTAGGGTGTGGTTGTTCATTTGTGGTTGGCTGTGGTGAATTTTTTTTCGTGTGTGAGTGGGGTGGGTGGGTGTTTTGGATCAGGTCAGCCATATTGATTTGTATGCTGTTGGTGGATTATTGTCATTGTCTTGTTGGGCTATGTATGTGATAAAAGGGAGCCATACCGGGGTGAAGGCGTCTTCTTCTGTTTGTCCCCGTGTCAGTTTCAGTTTGTTGGTTAATTTTTCTGGTAGGGCTGTTTCCCATACTATTTGGTACCATTGGTCCATGCTTACTCCTGACAGGTCTCTCCAGTGTCTGGTTATGGTGTTCGAAAGTTGCCTCTGAATGTGGTGGATATCCAGAGGTGATAGAACAGGCTGCCCCCCTTCAAGGTGCAGGGAAGGAATGTCATTTATATATGATTTCCTAGGTAGAAAGATATTGCTAGGGACTGCTTGCTCCACTCGCTAACGCTGCTTACTTTCTAAATTGCTCTGTGTAGCTTCCCTCTTCAACATCTCTGCAGGCTTGTTTAATGGAGCTCTTCACACAACAGCTTGCTAAACTGCTGTGTGACGCACCTGCTGTTAAATCTTACTGTAGATGCCTTCCTCACTCTGTTAAACGCCTTGCCTGGATCTGCCTGCCATTCCTTATGCTGCAGTTGGTACGGCCACACTACCTAGTGGTGGCCACACTGCAGAGCGTGACAACAGCCGTACTTCTTTGTATATAGGAAGATATTCTATCAACACAGCAGTTCCCAAACTATCCTAATGAACTGTGGACCACTTGGAAATTGCCACGTGTCTTGGTGGACCACCAATACCCTTTTGACTGCTGTGCCAAAAACCACATGCCTGAGCCTGGGCTGCTGAGAGGTGCCCCTAGTCCCTGGTACATTTGGAAGAGACAAATGAGTCAACTTCACCTGCAAATGTAATATGAGTATCAGAGTCCCCTGGGCAGGGCTTTGTTAAACCTGTTTGTTAATCTGGCCCTGATCAAAAGAGCTTCATATCTCCGTTACCAGGGAGGGAAAGGAGGTCTCAGGCCAAGTAAACACATTCTCTCTTGTTCTGCAACTTTTCCAAGTGTGAGCTGGATGAAGTTCATGGACCACAGTTGGAGTGCTTCTAAACTAGCCCACCAAAAGGGAGCATTCTGGCACATGGCTTATTCTGTGTAGTGCTAGTTTTCTGACGAAGGGAGATTTTTAAAAAGGCAGCAGGGAAAATTCAGAGCTGGCTCAAGCCATTATTCTAGGTGTACTCTTGCACAATAACTATTATTTGGATTTTTTAAAAGCGTTTCTGAGGATGCAAAGGGTTAGACCCGGGGGCACAATGCAGCCTGCAGGTCTTTCCATCTGGCTTTTGGAACTTTTTAAAGGCCACACCCCTTACTCAGCCATGATTTACACATTCCTTGATTGCTTTTGCCTTGCTGGAATATATCCTTAGACTCCTTAACTGCCCACTTTTGCCTCTTTCTGCCCAACACTGGCATATGGCCCCATGGAAGACGCAGAAGGGAATGTGGCCCTTAAAGGTGGGGAAAAGGTTCTCCACTCCTGCAATACAGTGTACTAATTTCAACCGACAGGACAGCTGCTGGACCCAAGGAAATCCTGACACACAGCCACAACCCCCCCCCCCAATTTTTGTTGGCAGGTAACAGGACCCGCCGCTGACCTTCTGATCAGCAAGTCCTAGGCTCTGTGGTTTAACCCACAGTGGGTGGTACTGTGGGTTAAACCACAGAGCCTAGGACTTGCCGATCAGAAGGTAAGCAGTTCGAATCCCTGTGATGGGGTGAGCTCCCGTTGCTTGGTCCCAGCTCCTGCCAACCTAGCAGTTTGAAAGCACAAAAGTGCAAGTAGATAAATAGTTAGCGCTCTGGCGGGAAGGTAAATGGCGTTTCCATGCGCTGCTCTGGTTCGCTGGAAGGGACTTAGTCATGCTGGCCATATGACCTGGAAGCTGTACGCCGGCTCCCTCGGCCAGTAAAGCGAGATGAGCACCGCAACCCCAGAGTCATCCGTGACTGGACCTAATGGTCAGGGGTCCCTTTACCATTACCTTAACAGGACCAAATGTTAATCTTATTATATGTGGTAAGAATCCAGTTGTTTTGAATTCAAGCCAGGCTGCCAACGTAAAAAACTGGTTACGTGCTGCAACAGTAATGTCAGGTGATTGCAGGTGGGTAGCTGCACCCACAGGGAATCTGCTGGCCTGCATCTGGTCCCCTGCCCATGGGCTGACAGGACAGGTGGTAGAGTTTCCTTACAAGGCTTGCAAGTCTTTCTGAAAACTCAGCACTGCCCTCTCACTTCCTTGGCAAACTCCCATCAGGTGCCTGCAGAGTTTTCAGTTATTCCCTTTCCCCCAATTCTCTAGCACCCTTTGTTCTACGAGGGCTTAATGTCATAGCACAGCACTGCAGGTGTCTGCTTGGTCTAGAGGGTTGGACTAGGACCTGGGAGATCTGGGTTCAATTCTTCCCACTTGGCCATGAAGTTCACTGAGTGACCTGGGCCAATCACAGCATATAATAATAATAACAATTTATTATTTACACCCCACCCATCTGGCTGGGCTTCCCCAGCCACTCTGGGTGGCTTCCAACAAAATATTAAAATACAGTTACGCATCAAACATTAAAAGCTTCCCTAAACAGGGCTGCCTTCAGATAAGTCTGGTAGTTGTTGTTCTCTTTGACATCTAGTGGGAGGGCATTCCACAGGGTGGGTGCCACTACCGAGAAGGCCCTCTGCCTGGTTCCCTGTAACTTGGCTTTTCACAGTGAGAACCGCCAGAAGGCCCTCGGGGCTGGACCTCAGTGTCCGGGCAGAACGATGGGGGTGGAGATGCTAACATCTCCCAGGGTTGTGGTTTTGTGTGCGAGTGTGAGGGAGAATATGCTTCCCCAATTCAATTCTTGGCTGCAGCAGCAATCTTATTTGTTGACTGCCAGTCATCTTCACAGGGTACAGAAGGGTTTGTTTTGTTTTTTGCCTGAGGGACACATTCCCTTTCTGGCTACATGCCAGGGGTGGGCGGGGCCAGAGGCAAAAGTGGGTGGAACAACAAATCTGTTTTGCCTATGTCTGTAGGCTAGCTTTTGCACACATTCAGAGACCCCTCTGTCCTCCACCCACACAACAGGCATGATCAGGTTTTAAGGACACATTCCAGCCTGGCAAATGCACTCAGGGCGCAAGGCCAGGGAATGGGAGATCGCACCTTTGCAATCGTGGGGCATGTTGTTCTAAATGGTTTGGCTCAAGGATGCATGAACCGAATGAACACTGGGGCCAACAGCAGCTAAGATCTTGCACTTTATTATTTCATTGTAGTGGAGACAGAAAAAGGGTGGGAGGAGTGTACAAATTTATACAAAACTTGATCTTCCCACTTAACAAAGTCAATTTAAACAATGAAACAAGCCCAACCATAAAGCAAGGTTCGGGAGCTTGCAGGCCCTTCAGATACCGCTAGACTACAATTCCCATCATCCAGGAGCGCTTGCCCTGCTGGCTTTGGGCTGGTTGGAACGAGAGTCCAACAACCAATGGAGGGCCACATGTTTTCCCCACCCCTACTTCAAAAGCCCACATTATGATCTAAACAACAACAACCACCAGGGAACTCGTTAAGCCCACTAGGAAAATAATTTTCTCTCCTAAAAATATATATGTATACATATAGAAATATGTTCTGTAAGTCAACATGTCACGATGCGAGGAGTTCCAAAGATGTCAGCCATTTACTAACTGCTACGGGACAACACTTTAGGGAGTGAGGGGGCCATGGGGGCTTAGTCTTTGGTGGCCGCGCTCTGCAACCGCTCCTCATTGCTATAAACCTCGGGCTCGTCCCCGGACTCATTGAGGAGGACAGTCCTCACAATGGCCTCCGTAACGGCATATGGGTCGCAGTTGGCAGAGGGGCGGCGGTCCTCAAAGTACCCGCAGCCATCCTGCCCAACTTGGCGGGGGATCCTGATGCTGGCCCCACGGTTGGCAATGCCGGCCGAGAACTCGAAGATGTTGGAGGTCTCATGTTGGCCCGTCAGCCTCCGGGAGTTGTCCTGGCCCCCGCGAGGGTCATACATGCGGATGTGGTACTTGTGGCGTTTGCTCAGCTTGTCTATGGCAGCTTCAATGAACCTGAAGAGGAGAGGCAGAAAAAAAATACGCATTGAGGAACTGCAGGCACACAAAGGAAAAATAAGCAAAAAGTATTGGGGGCGACTGTGATGGCAGGGCAGAGACAATGCGTCTCTGGAGAGCAGGCCAATCACAGACTCAAGCGTCAGATGGAGCACATTAGAAAAGCAAGACAAAGAATATTTACGTTCAGGAAAACTTCTTGAAATTATGGCACAGACGGCATCACACTCTCCTCTGCAAATGTCAAAAATGTGTGTGTGTGTGTGTGTGTGTGTGTGTGAGAGAGAGAGAGAGAGAGAGAGAGAGAGATTTTGTATACAGTGGTACCTCGGGTTACAGATGCTTCAGGTTACAGACTCCGCTAACCCAGAAATAGTACCTCGGGTTAAGAACTTTGCTTCAGGATGAGAAGAGAAATCGTGCTCCAGCAGCACAGCAGCAGCAGGAGGCCCCATTAGCTAAAGTGGTACCTCAGGTTAAGAACAGTTTCAGATTAAGAATGGACCTCCAGAACAAATTAAGTTCTTAACCTGAGGTACCACTGTATATAACTTTAAGATGGGAATATGTTGGTAGAAGATTTCTGGAAACCTATTCTGACAGTGACCATAAATTTACAAAAGCAAACCACTGATCACTGTCCAAAATTAGTCCTTCTGAATATTTTTGATTGTACAAATGGTAGATATTGTCAAAAGAATTGATACTATATATGATCTTGGCAACTTGAATTGTAACTGGAACTCAACAGCAATCTTTTCTTACATTAATTTATGTATTTCCCCTGAAAGGGACAGCACCAAATCTTACACTGGAAGCTTGGTGGTACTCCCTCTGCAATATAGTTTTAATGGGGAAAATTACACACGATTTGAGGAGCAGGAGCCTCCAGACACTTTTTGCACCATTTGGCATTTGTTCATTATATAGGCGCAAGCGGAATCACCACCTCCAAGGCTGTCCTTGCTACAAGCCTGGCAAATACAGAAGCACACCTGACAGTCAAACAGCCAGAGGTGGCTTGTACCGCCTTGCCACCGGAGGCAAAATGGGAAAGCGCCACCTCCTGGGCACTCCCACTATTCCCCCACCACTTCAGCCATACTCCAGAATGCCCCCCACACCTGTTTGCCAAGAGGCCTGGCATTCTGCATGGTGTCGCCACTCATCTTCTCTGCCCAAGGTGAGCGAGAGGATGGCAGAAGTGGAAAGAATGGAGTAGGTGGGCTACAGCAAAAACACCGGGGTAATAATAATAATAATAATAATAATAATTTATTATTTATACCCCACCCATCTGGCTGGGCTTCCCCAGCCACTCTGGGTGGCTTCCAACAAAATATTAAAATACAGTAATGCATCAAACATTAAAAGCTTCCCTAAAGAGGGCTGCCTTCAGATGTCTTCTAAAAGTCTGGTAGTTGTTGTTCTCTTTGACATCTGGTGGGAGGGCGCTCCACAGGGTGGGTGCCACCACCGAGAAGGCCCTCTGCCTGGTTCCCTGTAACTTGGCTTCTCGCAGTGAGGGAACCGCCAGAAGGCAAACAACTTAAGCAAGCAAATGGAGACAACATTGCTGCAGTGTTTGAGCTCCACCCACAGACCCTCAAATGACCCACTCAAGTGCCCTATAAGGGAAAGTCCACTCACTTGATACCCCCTTTCTGCCTTGTTTCTTTCGTGCTGACATTGGTGTGGCACCCAGCGCCATTCCAGTTGCCGGTTATTGGTTTTGGATCCAAAGTGGCGATGACCCCAAAGTCTTCGCAGACCCGATGCAAAATGTATCTCGCCATCCACAGGTGGTCACCCATCTCAATACCTTCGCAAGGCCCCACCTGGAATTCCCACTGCAGGTAGAAAGAGATGCTGTTAGTGCAAAATGAAACAGGTTCCTAGTCTTCAAGGTTGCCAAACACACTCTACCAGGGCAGAGGTGCCCGTAAAAGAAAAGAGGGCTGGAGCAGGTGGTAGATCAAAGCTTCAGGCTGGGAAGTCAGAGCAATAAGGGAAAGCAATAAGCTGTAGTAAGAGCCAACAACTGGCAGGCCACATTTAGTGGGCATATACAGCTCTTGATCACTCCTCCCACCCTCTGTAAGGGGACCCAGGGAATGCACACTTCCTCATCACAGGGACGCAGGAAACTGTCTTATACTGAATCAAACAACTGGCCCATCTAGTTCAGTCTTGTCTACACTGACCAGCAGCAGCTTCCTTTCTCACCCAGCCCCACCTGGAGATGCTATTGGGGTTGAACCTGGGACTCCTGCATGCAAAACAGATGCTCCATAAGTCCTCTTTCTACATACCTGAGAAGGCATGACTTCAGCATTGGTGCCACAGATCTCCACACCAGCATAAATGCAGGCCCTGTAATGGGTCTCCACTATGTCACGCCCGTACACCTTGTCGGCCCCAACGCCACAATAATAAGGTCCTAGGAAAGAAAAAGCACATGACACATACAATTAGACTGCTGCTTTGTTAGGAGATATGTGCATATCCAACAGGAGGTGCCATCTTAGGAAAGAACTGCATAAGAAACAAAGACAGAGAGACAGGGACAAGGGACTGTCTCCCCTAAGTTGGAAAAACCGCCATTGGGATCTATCTCCTCTTCCTTACACACAGTCTTCACCTGTTAAAATGTTAGGCCCATCCTTTGCTTTTTAAAAAGAAAAAGAAAAAAAGGTGCCAGTACTCAACATGAATTTGTTATAGAAAGTGCTGTATTGAGTACCCTTGAGTACCTCCAGGAAAAAAGCATTGGGTCCCAGCACTTGCCAAGATTTATTTATGACATAGCAAGTAACACCTCCAGGCTTTACCTCTGTTTATAGCTGTGGCCCTTTTGATTTTTTGGACTACAACTCCCATCATTCCTGACCATTGGCCAAGCTGGCCAGGGCTGGTGGAAGAAAGTGTTTGACAATATATGGAGGGCCAGAGGGGCCCCGCCACTTATCTCTATTTAATAAAAACGTAAGGTTCCCCCATTGGAGGATTTGAGGCACTGTGTCGCAATCTGGATTTGCGTGAAGTCAGGGCAGGAGGAGTGGAGCAAAAGCGAAGGCAGACTACAACAGAACAGCAGTGGCAAAAGCATGGGAGAAAGGGAGGTGCACTGAGAAGGGGGAAAGCAGTGACAGAAAAATGTTGAGGGGGCTGGCTGAGGGCAGGCTTAAGTTGGTAGGGTAGTGCCCTACTTGCCCTAACAAAGCAGCCTCCACTGGTTGCCCCAGTTCAGAGACTTGCTTGCAAGGCACATGGCAAGGGCAGAACACTCTTTGCTGAAAGGGCCTGGCATGCACCTTTCAGTAATCCCTCACATGAAGGAGGATTTCTCAACCAAACCGGTTAGCGAGTGGAAACTTTTGTGCAATGCCAGGTCAGGCAAGCAACGTCAGGGAGGGAAAGGTCAGATGATTTGCAAGATACACAATGCACAGATGGCAACTGCAAGGCAGCATGCATATCTGTTTGTGTGTGTGCGCGCACGTATATAGGTGTATTGCTTGCATCAGCAAGACAGTACTTGATCACATGATTATTCTGAGGCCCTTATCTGTGACTCAGCAGCAGGGACCCATCAATTCGTAGCAGAGTTGGGGAACATTTCTTAGACAACGCCCACATTCCCTCCTGAAGGAACCTTGTGGGAGCCACCTGCCAGTGGCAGGAGCAGCCAAAAGTGGGTGAAGCAACAAGTGTTAACTGACTCACATCTCTTCCATCATCCATCCTGGCAAGCAGAAAACCAGGGAGAGGCTTGGACAGTGCATCTGGTCCCACAGGGCAGGAACATAGAAACGTGGGAAGCTGCCTCGTACAGGTTAGATCTTTGGTCCATCTAGCTTATTATTGTCTGCAGTGACTGCAAGCGGCTCTCCAGGTTTTGAGTCAGGGACGGTTTCCCACCCCTACCTGTAGATGCCAGGGACTGAACCTGAGACCTTCTGCATGCAAAGCAGGTGAACTACCACCAATGTTTTTCATCTCTGAGTTATATAGGATCTTGACAGGCAACCATCTTGACTTATGGCATAACAAACATCTACCAAAACCTTTAGGGGAAAGGGGACTATTTGTGAATTCTCCTGCTAGCAACAGGCAGAGGTTCAAAGACTGAGCTCCCCTGGCCCCCGTCAGAAAACCCCACCCTTGCTGCAATGGCATTTTATTTTCACCAAGCTTGGCAAAGCTCAGCAACATCTTTTGTCTGTTGCTCTGCCACTTCCTTTCCCCCTCCTCACCATACTAATTAAGTTAGGCCAAGAACCACATGAAAGGTTATTTTTCCTCCTCCCTCCCCATCCCTTTTTACTTTTGTGTCATGCCTTTTAGATTGTTAAGCCTGAAGGCAGGAAGGGTGAAATGAAATTTGGGAGCCTTATTTGACTGAAGAGCAGGATGCTTCAAAAAAACTAATCAAGTAGTCCAAGGGCTTCGGGTGGCGCTGTGGGTTAAACCACAGAGCCTAGGACTTGCTGATCAGAAGGTCGGTGGTTTGAATCCCCGCGAGGGGGTGAGCTCCCGTTGCTCGGTCCCTGCTCCTGCCAACCTAGCAGTTCGAAAGCACGTCAAAGTGCAAGTAGATAAGAGGTACCGCTCCGGCGGGAAGGTAAACAGCGTTTCCGTGTGGTGCTCTGGTTTGCCAGAAGCGGCTTAGTCATGCTGGCCACATGACCCGGAAGCTGTACACCGGCTCCCTTGGCCAATAAAGCGAGGTGAGCGCCACAACCTCAGAGTCGGTCATGACTGGACCTAATGGTCAGGGGTCCCTTTACAGGATGCCGCTCATTCTTGCAGTATATATGTAATACAACATTAAAGCCAAAGAATTTTGCGGTATATCTGATATGGTGCCAGCCAGAAGGCATGTCCTCTCATACCCCTACCTGCATCCATCCATTTCAGCTGAAAGCCTTATTCTTCTTACCTTGTGGGCCTGGGAAACCATTCTTGGGCCAGCCATATGGGTGTCCATCGACACCCAGCAAAGTGTATTCTTGCTCCATCCCAAACCAAGGCTGACTCTCTTTGACCATGTCCATGATTATCTTGCAGCTGCTCCTCAGATTGGTTTCTGCAAGGAAGAAAAGTTATGTCAACACGCCATTTTGCTTCAAGCTCAAGGTTTGCAGGTGTGCAAAGGCTATTATTGGTTGTCCAACTTGGAGGACATGGAACACTGAATAAGACCTCACCTGCCCGCTTCCGGTTGTATTTCAGAACCTCACATAAGACAAGCTTGTTGGGGTCAAGGGTAAAAGGGTCTCTGAATATCTTAACGGGGATCAAGAACATGTCGCTGTTGGAGCCTTCAGACTGGCCTGTGCTGGATCCGTCAAAGTTCCATTCTGGGAGATCTGCAGGAGGGATTGAAATAAAGGTGTTTTAGGTATCACTCCACTGAATCCAGACCTATTAGAGGCTGGCCGGGGGGAAATGCTTGGTGAGAATAAGGGCCATAGCTCAGAGGTAGAGCACCTGCTTTACATGCAGAAGAACCCAGGTTCAATCCCTGGCATCTCCGGGTAGGACAAGGGGAGACACCCTGCTTTTGCCCCAGCTGTGGAAATATCCTGGAGAGTCGCTTCTAGTGAGCAGCAATAATACTCAGCTACGTGAACCCATAGACCAGGCATAGGCAAACTCCGCCCTCCAGTGTTTTCGGACTACAACTCCCATCATTCCTAGCTAACAGGACCAGTGGTCAGGGATGATGGGAGTTTTAGTCCCAAAACATCTGGAGGGCTGAGTTTGCCTATGCCTGCCATAGACAGACCCTGCATTTATTTATTTATTTAACTAGCTAACTAGATAACTAACTAACTAACTAACTAACTAACTTATTAATTAATCAACTCCTTGGAGTGGGGAGTTTATATATACATAAACTAAAACCCCTAAGCAGTTTGCATAGAACAAAAAGAAAATACACTTAAGGGAGTAAAAAAATATTAAAAAACAGAAAAACTATTTTCCAACAGAAAAGCAGAAACATTTATCAAAATATAAATAAAACCAGCAGTTGTTTTTGTTTTTAAACACATTTATGCCTAATAATAAATTTAGATGTCTGGGGAGCCTGACTTAAGCAAGCTGACCAGTTTTTAGTAGGTTCCAAGAACAACACATTAAAAGCACCCTGCATAATAACAAGAGGCAGGGAGTTCCAGAGAGGAGGTGCTGCTGCAGTAAAAGATGCAACACATTGCCAGTGCAAACAGTATGTGGCATTAGGTGGTATAAGGCAGCTTTTTCGCTTCAGTCCAGACCATCAGCTGGGAAAACTGGACCTGGTCAACAAGACAGAGCCTTGTCTCCCTTACCTGCTGTGGTCCAAATCTGACGGCACAGCATAAGTCACTTTGCAAGGGGCCTGTAAAGAGCCCTGCCTTGTACTCCGGAGCCCTGAAAAATCAGCTGATCATCTGGTCTTCTAAGCATCATGCTTAGGAAGGGGCTTGAAAAGACCCACACTCTGTGACCTGAAGTTCTGATGATCAGCAGTTCAGTGGCACTTTAGGAGCCCATTTTGGGCTAACTCAGCAGCCTTTCCACACTTCAGGTATCAGAGGGAAGGGCTTCAGCTCAGAGGGAAGGTTGAACATCTGTCTTGCACACAGAAGGCCCCAGGTTCCATTCCTGGGACGTCTAGGAACGCCTGAGAATGTTCTGACGAGCTGCTGCAAATCAGTGTAAAAAAAAACTGAACTACATTAACCAGTGCCTTGATACACTACAAGTAAATCTCATATGTTCCTATGACGTCAGGTGGATGAGACCTGGCCAAATATATGAGGACTGGTAGGCCTCATTAAGCCTGCAGTCTAGAGGTTCCTCACACATGATTGAATGAATGGGTTACTCACCTTGGGGTGACATTTCCCTGTAAAAAAGCCTAACAGACAACTCCCCTTAAGATGCACAAGAGGGCATCAAAAGGAACCCAGCCCTGCTTCTTCCACTCCCTGTAATCAAAGCTGGCAGGTTCATTCATGTACCTGTCGCTAAGCATTTGCATAGGCCAAGTGGCATCCACATTAACTGCAGCCCAGCCTGCAGTTGAGAATCCCCAAAAGGAAGTAAAAAGTCGCTTCCAATTACATTGGCAAACATTTCAGGAAGCAAAAGTAGAAAATAATAATAATAATTAAGCCAGGTGTCTGGGGACCTGCCTGTTTAGAAAGGATTCTGCAAGTTTCTAGCTCCTAACACTAGATTGCTACTTGGGTGAGACTATGCTGGGAGTCGACAGATCCAAAGCTGGACTGTAAACAGGTAGAGAGAACAGAGGAAGCCACACTGCATAAGGTGTTGGAACTTTTAACCACAAGCAGAGCCACCAAAGAGAGCAGGAATAAGGGAACCTCAGGCCCAGAGGTTGAATGTGGCCCTCAAAGCCTTTCTATCTGGCCCTTGGGACTCTCCAAACCACACTTCCTACTGGCTCTGCTTTGCACCATTCCCTGAGTGTTTTTGCCTGGGTGGGATGCGTCCTTGCCCTTTGCTGTGCAGAAACTAGCCTGCACTACAGAGGTGACATGTAACACCCAAAGCTCTGCCCACTTGTGCCCCTGGCTCCTCCTGCCACTTGCATGTGGCCTCCTGGAAGGTTCTCCAGAGGGGAACTGAAAGAAAAGGTTCCTTGCCCCTGCAAGAGAGGATGAGGGCAACCGCCGCCCAGCCTTACCTTCAATGGTCTTTGGTTCCTGGCTCAGTGTTCTGGTTTTACAGCGAAGGCCTTCGCCAGTTCCATCGATCCAGATGTATGTGACCAGCACCTTGTCCCCCAAGGGCAGCTTCATGTACTGGTCCCTGACCACCTTGTTCAGCTTGGAACTGTGCGACACAGACATGGTGGCAACCTAGGGAGGAGAGGAAGGAAGACGTTTTAGATCCCCTTCAAACTGTGTGTGAGTTTCAGAGCTCATCTGCTGGGGTAAATGACCAAACCTTCCTTGCGCTGCTAGGTGAACGAAGCGATAATAAGGCTTGCTTATAGTGAACAAGAGGGACGCGGGTGGCACTGTGGGTTAAACCACAGAGCCTAGGGCTTGCCGATCAGAAGGTCGGCGGTTCGAATCCCTGCGACGGGTTGAGCTCCCGTTGCTCGGTCCCAGCTCCTGCCAACCTAGCAGTTTGAAAGCACGCCAGTGCAAGTAGATAAATAGGTACTGCTCCAGTGGGAAGGTAAACGGCGTTTCCAGTGCACTGCTCTGGTTTGCCAGAAGCGGCTTAGTCATGCTGTCCACATGACCCGGAAGCTGTACGCCGGCTCCCTCGGACAATAAAACAAGATGAGCGCTGCAACCCCAGAGTCGGTTTGCCTTATAGTGGACAATACTGAGCTAGATGGACCAACGGTCTGTATGAGGCAGCTCCCTGTATTCCTAGGCAAATGAAAGCACCACCAAACTTGCACAACTGGTCTCTTCCCCTCAACATCTCTTTTCCCAGCCTCACTTCCATTAAGCAATTGGAACCTCAGCAGCTGTCCCTGAAAGAGGTGAAGGAGCTAGAAGCTTTGGAGGAGGAGGTGTTTTGTATGATTGGATTAACCACACCCCAGACATAAGAGTGCGGCTGCAGGGGCTCAGATCAGAGGTGGAATGAATAGGATTGTTATCTCAAACATCTCACAGCTGAGAAGGAGTTATCTGCTGTGAATCAACCCCACACCTACTAGCTAGCCTGCTCTAGGGCAATGCAAGATTGATTTGTGGGCAGGGGGGACAATGAAAGAGATACCGGACAGGTCCATTTTTACAGTGGTTGAAGATTGGGTTAATACAAGCTGGTAACTTTTGGAAGGAGAATTATATAACAGATTCTTCCTGGGAGGGCCCCCCCCATCTCTTTCCTCCCCGCCCCAAAACCCCTTCCCCATTTATTCATGAAATTCCACATAGTGCTAATAAGCAGTAATATCAAAACGTTTCCACAACTGCATTCTGCATGCAAACAGAATTTTAATTTTTAAAATTAAACAATGGAAGTATCCACAGTTTCAGCTGCATGGGGGGGGGAGACCTCTGACCCTCCAGATCTTGGGTGCCAAATCCCGCCAGTGGTCCACCCAGCATGAACAATAGTGAGGGACAATGTGAGTTGTCGTCCAACAACCTATGGAGGGCTACAGGCTCCTTCCATCCCTGGACTGGCACCTGGAGATTGTAAAGAGGGGGGAAGCTGATGCCGGTGCATTAAAATGGATAAAGAGCTTTATCAAAACAAGAAACAAGTCTGCATCCCTGCACTAAAACGCACTGGGGGGAGGTGGTAGCTATGCTTGTTAAAGTATTGGTTTGGCTTCCTAAACAAGTTTTCAGCCTAAAGTTTTTTCTCCTTGAGCGCCAGTAGAGATCCAGCTAGCAAAGTATCAGGGGAGAAACAGGAACTTGCCAACCACACTAAGCTAACACCCAACAAGGAAGTGGGAAAACAAACACTGGAATTTGTAGGCCAGTTCAATGCTGGAGGAAGAAGCAGAGCTCACCTTAAGGTGACACTAGGCAAATATCTTTCTTTTTTTAAATCTAATTTTTTTTGGGTTTTCAAAAATTTACAGACATACAACTTACAAAAAGACAAATCACATACATTTCTAATACTGCACACACGTCTGGCTTCCCTCCCCTCCCCTTTGTGATTTCTTTTTAGTTTTACTTTTTATACTTTTTCCATGTTAAAGGTAAAGGGACCCCTGACCGTTAGGTCCAGTTGTGGCCGACTCTGGGGTTGCGGTGCTCATCTCACTTTATTGGCCGAGGGAGCCGGCGTACAGCTTCCGGGTCATGTGGCCAGCATGACTAAGCGGCTTCTGGCGAACCAGAGCAGCGCACGGAAACGCCATTTACCTTCCCGCCGTAGCGGTACCTATTTATCTACTTGCACTGTGAGGTGCTTTCGAATTGCTAGGTTGGCAGGAGCAGGGACCGAGCAACGGGAGCTCACCCCATTGTGGGGATTCGAACCGCCGACCTTCTGAACAGCAAACCTTAGGCTCTGTGGTTTAGACCACAGCGCTACCCGCGTCCCTATTTTCCACATTACTCCATCTTTAAATTATTCTTTAGTTTCTCTTAGTAATATGTTTAACTTGTTTTACATTAACCCTGTTAATGAACTTATTTGCATTCACGAATTTTTCCAATATTCCACAATTCCCCCCCCCCAATCTTTAATAACTCCCCCCCTTCTTGGTTTCTTATTACACCCGTTACCCTTGCCATTTCAGCACAATCCATTATAGTGGTGCCTCGCAAGACGAAATTAATCCGTTCCGCGAGTCTCTTCGTCTAGCGGTTTTTTCGTCTTGCGAAGCAACCCTATTAGCGGCTTAGCGGATTAGCGCTATTAGCGGTTTAGCGGCTATTAAAGGCTTATCGGCTTAGCGGATTAGCTGCTAAAAGGCTATTAGCGGCTTAGAAAAAGGGGAAAGCGAAAAAAAATCTCAAGACTCGCAAGACATTTTCGTCTTGCGAAGCAAGCCCATAGGGAAATTCGTCCTGCGAAGCAACTCAAAAACGGAAAACCCTTTCGTCTAGCGGGTTTTCCGTCTTGCGAGGCATTCGTCTTGCGGGGCACCACTGTAATTTAATTAGCCACTCTTCCTTGGTTGCTACTACATCTTCTTTTCACCTCTGGGCAAAATATATATCTTAGGGCCAAGTGAACTTATGTTCCAAAACAGGCAAAGAACATATTGAGACTTAACAGAATGATTCTTCAGTTTACATGTTAAGACAATGGAGGAGGTGTAAGATGAAGATTTTTTTTTTTTTATGGGGCATGGCAAAAAATTCACGCCCATTGTATTCTCTCCCTGCCCCCTCCTCCATCCATTAAACAGAAATGATGGGGACTTTTAAGGCTGAAAATTTGAATGGGGAAGCTGTGCCTCACCCCTCCCCCCCGGTTGGGCTCCAACTCCCACCACCACCAGCCAAAATGGCAAATGGTCAGGGGTGAAGAGAACTATCATCCAACTACATCCAAGATGCCATAATCCTGATGTAAATAATTTAGGACTCTTGTTACCTTAAAAACCAACTGCACCCCCACAGACTAAACCAGTGCCTTAAGGTCAGCCTTTGAGGCTTTCTGCCCTTTGCACAATCATTCCAGAGCCTTGAGGCAGATAAGGCAGTACAGTGGTGCCTCAGGTTAAGTACTTAATTTGTTCCGGAGGTCCGTACTTAACCTGAAACTGTTCTTAACCTGAAGCACCACTTTAGCTAATGGGGCCTCCTGCTGCTGCCACGCCGCCGGAGCACGATTTCTGTTCTCATCCTGAAGCAAAGTTCTTAACCTGAGGTAATATTTCTGGGTTAGTGGAGTCTGTAACCTGAAGTGTATGTAACCTGAAGCATATGTAACCCCAGGTACCTCTGCACAGTGGTACCTCAGGTTACAGACGCTTCAGGTTACAGACTCCACTAACCCAGAAATAATACTTTGGATTAAGAACTTTACCTCAGGATGAGAACAGAAATCGTGCAGCGGTGGCGCAGTGGCAGCAGGAGGCCCCATTAGCTAAAGTGGTACCTCAGGTTAAGAACAGTTTCAGATTAAGAACGGACCTCCAGAACAAATTAAGTTCTTAACCTGAGGTACCACTGTAGTGGAGGCTCTCTCTCTGGGCTTCTTCCAAAACTCCAAGCAACAAAGCCATTTCCCTTCTAGTGTTCTAGCATTCTGAGAAAATGTAAGAAAAGTAATATAATTCAGGGGCTACAGGTCTCTTTTCCTTGAGGGGTCCCTTGCTTCACCTGTGCAGCGGAAAACAGCAAGACTTCTTTGCACTCCTTATGTGCCTCTGTGTAGCAGCTGCTGGAAGTCACAAGTGGGGGGGGGGAGTTGCTGTTGGCTTGGGGCCTAATTGCAGGCTTCCTATTGGGGCATCTGAGAACAAGAAGCTGGACTAGAGGGGCCTTTTGTTCAACCCAGCAGTCAGGCTCTTCTTGATGATTAGCTATTTCAATTTATCTATCATTCACCCTGTTCTTGGGCAGCTTATACAAAGTTTTCAAAATATTTGTAATTTACCGTATTTATCGCCATGTTTTAAAGTTGTTGGCTTTGGGGTGTGTGTGTGAGAGAGGCCTTCCTTTGCAACCCTATAAAACGGGGATTGCTGGATTGTTTTTGTTTCAATTTTTATTATGCACAGTATTTTGTGTTTTTTATATTGCAAATTAATGTTGTCAACTGTCCCGAAATCTACAGATATAGGACTGTATACAAAGCTAAATAAAGAAATCATAACTAAATAATAGTAACAAAAGATTCTACACTTTAAAAATTAGCAGAGATGGAGTGGTATTTAAGTTTGTTGCGTCCATTCATTTCAACAAGTCAATTCTGAATTAAGATTGACATTTTATACAATCCACAATATCATTTTCATGATGACGGTAGAATTGCTTACCACTCTCTCCAGGGAAATCAGGGGTTGATTAATTTTTACATATTTTCAAAACGGTATTTAAAGAGTAATTTATCTTTTGTATTCAATGGTTATTCATCCAGCTTTTCTCTTTCCTGGCACTTAAAACCTATTCCCAGAGGCATTCAAATAGGCTAACAGTTTGTGTTGATGACGTGGTGGAATTTAATTTGTATATTTTTTTAAAACACTCATTTAAGTGATGATTTTATTCAAACGTTGTTCTACAGTAAGTTTTAAATATGCGTCAAATACAGATTCTAGTGCAACAGAACACCTTGGCGGAAGACAGAGTGCACAGAAATGCTGTTTACCTTCCCGCTGGAGCGGTACCTATTTATCTACTTGCACTTTTTGGTGTGCTTTCGAACTGCTAGGTTGGCAGGAGCAGGGACCGGCAAGCCCCAGAGGCTCAGTGGTTTAGACCACAGTGCCACCCACGTCCCAGGTAATATTTTAAAGAAACTACAAATAAATTTCTAATAACTTTTTTAAATCAACGTCCAGCCTGATAAAAGAGTCTTACTGAATTCAAAATCTCACTCACTGCTGTTATGATAAATTACATTAATTCATAGCTTTTCACAAGATGCCTGAGTGACTTACAAAACGTGCCCCTCCAACCTCTCACTACCAAGGAAATATAACAAGCAAATAGAAAAGCAACCTACCCAAGGGACACTGACACAAAACCCCACACATAACACTGAGTAAAATAATATAGGTTTTACCACCACCCTCCCCCCCTTTCTCGAACCTTATACTGCATATAACACTAATGTCTCTCCACAAATGTAATTGATCTGTAGCAAACAACTTGAAAAATGAGACAATCCATGTACTTTTGTAAACTAATAAGATCTTTTTTTAATTTTAATTTTTTTAAAAGCATGCCCCCTCATGAAGCCCGCTAAAGGGCCAATACAACCACTAATAACACCAGTAAATGTAAATACGTTAAATATGTTTTGAGTTTTTCACGGTCAGCTTCCTTTTGAAAAAGGCCCCAAGGCTGGTCAATCACCAGCCGGCAGCGCCACGAAGCTGCAGAAAATGCCGGCGCGATTTTCGCCTACATTCCCGAGAACTACAACTTCAAGCCCGAGAAGAACTTGGCTGGACACAAAAGCAAAAAGTCTTGTTGAACGGCAACCCCCTGGGTGCTTTTACGCGGGGGCGCCCCAAGCGATTTCAGTGGGGGCTACTCGGAAGAAAGCGACTTGACGCCCCCTAAACCGCGCCAAGAGCCCTCGTGGATCAGAAGTTGGGCGAAAACCGTGCATTTCCCCCCTAGGAAATGGGTCGAGCCCGGTGCGAGCGCGCGCGCGCGCAACCTCGACTCAGAGATGGGTAGGCGAGAAATAGAAGAAGCCCCTCTAAAAAGGAGAACCCCGATCTCATCTCCTTTTCACCCCGATTAACCTCTCCATCCGGCGGAACGCGGCTCTGGGGCTGCGGCGCCCGCGAGGCTTTACTCGGAAACAATATACGGATTCACTTCGGGACTTGACTTCCGAGTCGCGGCGCTTTTCGCCCGCTTTCGGAAGGGGGTCGCGGGGAACGCGGCGGGAGCGCACGGGGACGCCTGCCCGATGGCGGCGTACGTACTTACCTCCGGCTGTGGGGGCGTCTCTGGCGCGCTCGGATGGTTTCAGAAGCGCGATCCCAACCCACAAGCTTTGCGGAGCAGCTGCACCTTTGCCGGCTCCTGCCGGCCTTTCTTATAGCCGCCCCCTGCGGACCAGAGGCCGGAGGCGGAGCGAGGGGCGGGGAAGAGGGCGGGCGCCCCCAAACCAGTGTGGGTGCGGCGCTGGAAATACTGTTTTCATGGGCGAAGGCTATCAGCGGCGAAGACGCAGGTTGGTTACTGCTAGTGTCAGAGCCTTTGTGCGCGCGCCTCAATGCCAGTTGGTGGGAATCGCCAGTGCTTTCTAATTATTATTATTAATATTTATTCGCTGCGGTTATCGCTCGCTTTTCCTCCAAAGGACCTCAAGGTGGCGCAATTCTCCAATTGTCCCGACGATCCTGTAAGGCAGTGACTGGCCCCAGTTTACCCTGTGAGCCTCCTTGAGGAGGGGAGTTTGAACCCTGGTCTCTTCCAAGTCCTCAAACAACAGGCAAAGGTATATTTTTGGCCACTGTGAGAACAGGATGCTGGAAGAGTGAAGCCTTTTGCCTGATCCAGCCTGACTCTTCCCCCAAGCTGTAGCCAATGCTAGTCCTGCACAGAGTAGGCCCACCGACTAACCTAGGTACATTGATTTCAATAGGCTGACTGAGTAAAACTTAGTTGGATACAGCCGTATGTTTTTAAACAAATCCTTAGGACAGTGAGGGGAAAACATATTGTAGGGTTGGAAAAGATTCAGGAAATGGGCAGCCGAAATGAAGAAAGGCTGCAGCGTTTGAGCCCTTTTAGTTTAGAGATAGGGCAAGAAAGAGTTAGACATTATAGGAGTCTGCAAAGTAATCCATGGCAGTGGTTGCTGATTGGTGGTCCATGGATCCCAGAGGGTCCGCATAATCCACCCAGGGATTCCATTCACGTAACAAAAACTACCATAGAGATAATCAAAATTTTCAAATTTTCAAAACCATGTGTCCATGGTTTGGCTTTTGAAAAACAGAGGGTTCACAGTACTTAGCTAATTGGGAAGCACTGATGTACGGCATGGAGAGAGTAGGTAAAGGTAAAGGGACCCCTGACCATTAGGTCCAGTCGTGACCGACTCTGGGGTTGCGGCACTCATCTCGCTTTATTGGCCGAGGGAGCTGGCGTACAGCTTCCGGGGTCATGTGGCCAGCATGACTAAACCACTTCTAGCGACCCAGAGCAGCGCATGGAAACACTGTTTACCTTCTTGCTGGAGCGGTACCTATTCATCTACTTGCACTGGCGTGCTTTCGAACTGCTAGGTTGGCAGGAGCTGGGACCGAGCAACAGGAGCTCACCCCGTCGTGGGGATTCGAACCGCTGACCTTCGGATCAGCAACTCCTAGGCTCTGTGGTTTAGACCACAGCGCCACTCGCATCCCGAGAGAGGGGATAGAGAAAAGTTTTTATGCCTCTCTCATAATAGTATGTGAACATCCAATGACGCTGAGTGTTGGAAGACTCTTGCCCAAAGAGGAAAAAGTACTTTTTCATGTGGCAGCCACCAAACTTAGGGGGTTGGACATACTCATGGAGGACAAGTCTATATTCTAGCTTCACTGTCAGTAGCATTATACCTCCAAATACCAGTTTCTGGGGGTCACAGGTGGGCAGAGTGCCGTTGAGCTCACTACCAGCTTGCAGGCTTCCAATAGGCACCTGGTTGGCCACCATGATAACAGCATGCCAGACTATATGGATCATTGGCCTGATCCACTAGGGCTCTTCTTATGTTCTTGTGACAAGAGAAGAGAACCAAAATGAATAGAGGTGCTCATCCAAAATGAATATAAGGTACGAATCCTACTCTCCCCCCCACCTGCACCCCACTAAAAGATGAGCACCACAAATGGCATAAATCACCCTGCAGTGTGATCTAAGTTAAATACCAAAGTGGAATATATTAGTCTTGTGTCTAAATACTAACTAAAGTTGGACTCTGGGGAGAGTGTACTGCAGATAGGAAGACCCCACGGAAAAGGCCTCTTCTTCTCTTCCATTGCCACCCTCTGCACCTCCTTCTGAAGATGTATATGGGAAAGGGCCTTAGATGATGATGGCAGGGCCTAGGTAGCTTAATGAAAGAGCAGGTAAATAAGTTTGGCCACCTGACATCAAAGGCAAAAATCTCCCCCTCCCACAAAACACCGTAATGGTACGGAAGCCAATGGGCCATGGGCCAGAATTATCCACTCCACCTGAAAGTAGCTGGTTAGTTGAGGATGTGCTGAGGAGTGTACACACCTGACAAGCAGCATCAGCCAATCCTGACTCCCTGATGTGTGTGTACTTAGAGCAGAAATCATAGAACGGGCAACTTGTGGCCTGATGTCATGCAGCTGGTTGTGGTGAGGAGAATGGGGGAAAGGGGTGGCAGAAAGAGACAGGGGGGGTGCCCTGGCTATTTCTGTTCTTGGCTCCACCCTGTTCTGTTTCTGGGTCCATGCACTTTGTGCTCTGGTTATGGCCTCCAAAGGAGTCTATAAGGGGAGTTTGGCCCTTATCAGAAAAAAAAGGTTCCCCTCTCCTGACCTATAGGACACACAATTTCGGCTCATTCATACATTATGTTATAAAAACCCAGCAGCTTGGATGTACAGTCTTCTACTGTAGGAACTAGTCCCCAGGGACTGCATTACTCTACTGACCTGATTTCATTGTGTCTGATGAAAGAGGTGGTTCCCTGCTTAACAAGTAAGTCAATCAACCAGGATTTGATCAGCTTCCCTCATGATGGCTGTTGGGTGGCACTAGGGTGCCCAGGTGAGTTTCCTTCTCCAGGTGTGTGGTTCAGATGGAGACAGAGTGGGGGAAACTAGAGGGAGGAGAGCAGGAAAGCCATGATGTCATAAAAGGTTTGCTTCCTGGCTCTGGGGTCTAGAGGCAGCCTGGGAAGTAACAATCTGATCCCTTTAACAGCTGGAGCTGAGACACCAGGAGTAATAATGACCATAATAAATAAAAAGGTCTGGAGAAGTAACAGGAGGCATGGTATGTTCTCTGCCACCACTGTCCAGGCCACTTCCTGCTTCCTAGAAACACTGTCATGGTTAGGGGAGGCCAACTTTGCCCCAATCCATTAGCCAGAGATGGAGCAGCTACTCTTGATGCTTGTGTTTCCTCTCCTCTCCTCTCCTCTCCTCTCCTCTCCTCTCCTCTCCCCAATCCTTTTTCTTTTTGTATTGTATGTAATAGATCATTGGTCTTCAACTGCTGGTTCAGGATCCATGGCTGGGTTGTGGCCCGATCCAAAATGAGTTACCATTGCAGCACTATCACCATCAAGAAAAGCGGGCAGGATTAAGAAATGGGATCTCAAATATATATTTGGGTTAAAGATCGACCTCAGGCCTGAAAAAGTTGAAGACAACTGCAATTTATTTACATTTACTTACTTAATTTGTATCCTATCTTTTCCTGCAAGCAGCTCAAAGTGGCACACAGAGTTCCTTTTATCCTCACCACAATCTTGTGAGCAGTGTTAGAAACTGAGATATGAAAGCTAGGAGCTACATGGCACCTTAAACCTAGGGCACGGGCACAACAACAGAATGTCTAGATGCGCTTTTTTGTAACAAGAACACAAAGCTGAAAATGAATGAACTGCAGCCAAAATATTATGTTCATTTTTCACATGGTCTAGTCCTTCTCCTGCCTACCCCCCTAGTATTCTCAGGAGGGTCTCTTCTCCAGTCTTCAGAGAGCAGCTGGAAGTGGGGAGGCAGAAAAAGGTCCTCTTTTCCTTCCACGCTGCAGTTTTAATCTGAAATCTTAAGCGCAGTACTGTGCCCAGAGCTCAGAAACTGTTCGCACTAATTAAATTTCCTGTCGCAAAATGCGCCTAGAACAATGGGAGTTTCGAACACTGCGTGTTAGGTAACCACCACACCAGCAGCAGCTAGATTGTGAGTGTGGGGGAAGGGGCTGTGTTAATCTTTAACTATAGGCATGGCGTTTGACCAAACTGCGGGAGGCAGTGGAAGTCAGGAGTGCCTGGCGTGCTCTGGTCCATGGAGTCACGAAGAGTCGGACACAACAGCAAAGACCTGATGAAGAGAGCACAGCAGAGGTTATATTTTCTGAGAATCCTCCGGAAAAACAATCTCTCAAAGGACCTGTTGATGGCGTTTTACCATTGCACTGTGGAGAGCGTATTAACTTATGGTCTCTGTGTGTGGTTTGGGAGCTGCACGGCCAGGGAAAAAACAATGCTGTCCAGGGTTGTAAAGACTGCAGAGAGAATAATTGGGTGCACTCTTCCCACCTTGGATCAAATCTATGCTGCCAGGTGCCATAAGAAAGCGGCAGAGATAGTGCAGGATAGTACGCACCCCGGGAATGATCTCTTTCAGCTTCTGCCTTCTGGAAGAAGGTATAGGGTTATAAAGGCCAGGACTAGCCGCCTGAGAAACAGTTTCTATGCAAATGCAATTCTGGTTCTAAACGCAGCATAAGGGGTCTCTATAGTATAGTGTATTTTATAGTATAGTATAGTGTATTTTAAAATGGGGTTTCAGAGTTTTTAGGGGTTTTTATAGTATAGTATAGTGTATTTTAAAATGGGGTTTCAGAGTTTTTGGGGGGTTTTGAATGTTTTATGTAGTTTTTCAGTTTCATTGTTCTGTATGGGACAATGACAATAAAGATATCGTATATATCGTATATAACTAAACGACTAAACAACAACAATAGGCCCGGTACTTAGGAAATATTTGGTGTTCTATCAGTGCTGCTGCTGCTGTTTTGTATCATTAGAACCAAAATCTTTTTCAGAGGGGGATGGAGGATAAAATGCCCAAAGTTCTGATTTCACCTCTGTAACATCAGAGGCCTAAAATAAAAATCAAACCACAAAGGACAGCCTCATACTGTTCAGAGCCCATTGGTCCTTAGCTCACCTGGAGTCCCAGCACATGCATTTTATCTCTGTGGTTGAACACAACATGGAAACCACTGAACCAGAAACATTGCTATCTTGACTTGTCTGTTTCCCTGCATCTCCCTGCCTTAGTCACTGAAGCACATATGTACTGAAACAGGCAACAAGCACACATACACCACAGAAAGTAAAGGGTGATAAGGACAGGCCTTTTTTTCAGCCGGAACTCACCAGAACTCAGTTCTGGCATCTCTCAGGTGTGCGCCATTGTCCTTATAAGAGAACAAGGGAAGCATTCATGGTGAGTTCAGGCACCTATTTATTCAACAAGGCATAAGGCAACCAGCTGTTTGAAATCATCTGCTATAAGTAGAGAAATCATGGTTCTGTAAATGTGGCTCCACACCATACAGTTAAAGCCCATGGTTTTCCCTAAAAAATATTGGGGACTGTAGTTCACCTGCTCACAAAGCTACAATTCCCAGCACCCACAACAAAATATAATTTCCCAGTTTTAAATGTGCTTTAAATGTGTGGTGTGGACATGGTTTAAGGCTATACATATTTACTGGTGGTTAAGTCCCCTTGGATGGGATGCGGGTGGTGCTGTGGTCTAAACCACTGAGCTTCTTGGGCTTGCTGATCAGAAGGTTGGCAGTTCGAATCCCCACGACGGGGTTAGCTCCCATTGCTTGGTCCCAACTCCTGCCAACCTAGCAGTTTGAAAGCACACCAGTGCAAGTAGATAAATAGGTACCGATCCGGCGGGAAGGGAAACGGCGTTTCTGTGCGCTGCTCTGGTTTCGCCAGAAGCAGCTTAGTCATGCTGGCCACATGACCCGGAAAAACTGTCTGTGGACAAACGGCGGCTCCCTCGACCTGTAAAGCGAGATGAGTGCCGCAACCCCAGAGTCGTCCATGACTGGACCTAACTGTCAGGGGTCCCTTTACCTTTATCTTTAAGTCCCCTTGAGCTCACTGAGACTTACTTCTACAGTGGTACCTCAGGTTAAGAACTTAATTCGTTTCGGAGGTCCGTTCTTAACCTGAAACTGTTCTTAACCTGAAGCACCACTTTAGCTAATGGGCCTCTTGCTGCCGCCGCGCCGCCGCTGCACAATTTCTGTTCTCATCCTGAAGCAAAGTTCTTAACCCGAGGTAATATTTCTGGGTTAGAGGAGTCTGTAACCTGAAGCGTATGTAACCTGAAGCATATGTAACCTGAAGCGTATGTAACCCGAGGTACCACTGTACTGAGGATTTGTGCTGCAAAAGGGGAAAAGCAGAGAGGATAAGCAGGTAAAAGAAATTGTCTTGCCCAGCGATCTCAACATGGAATGAATTGAGCTCAGTGGTGCTGTGGCCAGGCAGGTACAGCAAATATTACACTTGAAAGCGGAGCAAGTGAGCAAAGTGTGGCTCAAGGCACTGGTCCCAAGGTCGCATGGAGAGACATGCTGGTGGAGCCAGAACTGAAACAAACGTGTTCCCTCCTCTTGGCAAAAGGTCAGACAGATTAAATCTTGGAAAAGGACCTTGTCAGAGGAAAGACAACCTCGCTTCCCCCCTCCCCCTTTGCAAAAGGCCCAGTTGTCCTAGGCTTCTCCTTTTTAGGAGAAAGGATTTCAGAACTGGGTGAGGGTGTGTGTGTGCATGTGTGTCTGTGTGCTCATGCTGTTCAGATCAAATATGAAAATGAATTGGTTTGTTTGCTTGGCAGTTAATGACTGGTCTGGTTTGCAGAGATTGATAAGAAGCCAAAGGGGGCTTCGTATCGAGGGGTGTTCTTGAAAGCCCTTTGTTGTGTCTTTGCGAGGAGGTTGCAGAGAGTGACCTCAGTCCGGAGACAACTAGTCGCCAACTTCAGCCTCATTTAGGAACACCAGGACCTGCCTTCTGCTGAGTCAGACCATCTAGCTCAGTATTGTTGACACAGAGTGACAGCAAGTTTTCTCGGATTTCAGGCACAGAGGCTCTCCTGGACCTACCTGAAGATGCCAGGGATTGAACCAAGGACCTTCTGCATGCAACGCAGATGCCCTGCCACTGAGCCCTTCCCATTGGTTTTCTTTGAAGCTGCTCAACTCTTCTCCCAGGTTTATGGTGGTCCTCTATATGTTGCTAGACTCCAGATCCCACCATTGCTGGCTGTCAGCCCTGCTGGCCTCTGGGGCTGCTGGGAGTTGGAGTCCCCATCCTTGCTCTGTTTGAAGCCTGGTCCTAGTCTAGTTTAAATGTTCTTAGAAAACCAACAGTAGGGAAGTTGCCCATTGTTCATGAGCACCTCAACAGCAAACTGAGCAGGCACACATATTACCTGTTCAGACGTCTTTCCCATTAGCTTGAGATGTATTTCAATTGTAGTAATAATTTCTAAATGTTCTTCTATCAGATCCACACCATACACTTAAAGCACATCTAAGGAACATTACTTCCCCCAAAGCTTCCTGGGAAATGCAGTTTTCCCCTCAGAGCTACAGTGCACTGCAGGCTTAACAAACTACAGTTCCCAGGATTTTTTTGGGGGGGGGCAGCCTTAAATGTGTGATCACTATACTTTAAATGTGTGGTGTGGACCTGACCTTAATTAGCATATGAATATTTTATGCAAATGAATGCCCTCCTTTTTGGCCATGCATCAGTGGCCTTATTGATGCAGTTGGTCACTCATGTTAGACTTCCTTTTTCTGTTCGTATGGGGTGACTCATACAGTCCTGTTTATCACTCATTATACTGAATTTGCATCAAGGCTGAATAAGGAATTGCAGTCACAAGTCCGGATGTTGCACTTACTCTTTTTTAAACGGAGTTCGTTCACACATTCAGCTGCAGGCCTTTATACAATGAAGCATTGCTCATCCGAGATAAGAATGTGAATAGCACCAACATTTATCAGACTAACGAGTATAGTGGCATTGCTTGAGGCTCTCTGCAACTGAAAGAGGAGGAAGGCCATTGTATCATTAGGTCATTGTAGACCAGGGACGGTGATCCTGAGGCTTGGGTCGTGTGGTCCAGCTGTCAGTAATCTCCCTGGGCAACACCCCTTCTTTCCAGGCCACAGCTGTCTGGGCCTGCTCCATGCCTTACTTGAGTGAGCGCAGAGTGCTGTTGTGTTCAGGTTCTGTTTACAGACTTCCAAAAAAGGTAAAGGTAAAAGACCCCTGACAGTTAAGTCCAGTTGCGAACAACTCTGGGGTTGTGGCGCTCATCTTGCTTTACTGGCCGAGGGAGCCAACATTTGTCCATAGACAGTTTTTTCAGGTCATGTGGCCAGCATGACTAAGCCACTTCTGTTGAAACCAAAGCGGCACATAAAAACGTCGTTTACCCTCAACAAAGGAAACTGATTTGTAAAAATGTTACATGGAAAAAATATGAGAGACATGACACATACTTCTGTAAAACAAGAAAATCTTTAATAAAAAAATTAAAAAGAAAGAAAGAAAGAAACGTTGTTTACCTTCCCGCCGGAGCGGTACCTATTTATCTACTTGCACTTTGACGTGCTTTCAAACTGCTAGGTTGGCTGGAGCTGGGACTGAGCAACGGGAGCTCACCCCGTCGTGGGGATTCGAACCGCCAACCTTCTGATCGACAAGTCCTAGGCTCTGTGGTTTAGACCACAGCGCCGCCCGCATCCCTGCAGACTTCCAAAGAGGCATCTAGTTGATCTCTGAGATAACAGGATGCTGGCCTACATGGGCCACTGGCCTGATCCAGCAGGACTCTTCTTATGTTGTTATGATCAGGTGGCAGGTGATGAGAAATACTCCCATATTCTTGAGACCCTGGAGGGCCTTTGGACCACCTCCAGCTGATATTTAGGCCAGGCTTCCTCAACCTCGGCCCTCCAGATGTTTTTGGCCTACAACTCCCATGATCCCTAGCTAGCAGGACCAGTGGTCAGGGATGCTGGGAATTGTAGTTCCAAAACATCTGGAGGGCCGAGGTTGAGGAAGCCTGATTTAGGCTTTCAGCACTTTTTCCCCTTCGCAGAGCCGGGGAACTTTTGAGGGCAATCTTACCTTGGAGGCTGGTGGACTTCTCTAGGGGATTTTCTGGCTGATATAACTGGCACTCCTGTCAAAGCCCTGGTTGACCTCTGGAACATCAGAAATGGCTTGGGCCGTTGACATGATGGCCCCAGAACCCTCTTCCTGCTTCATGGAGCCTGTTTGGCTCCTTGATATACTCCAGAGTTTAGGCAAGAAACAAGCTGGGAGATTGCTTGAACATAAGTGGAGGAAAACTCCAGTTGAATGCAGTTGAACACTAGTGAGGGTTCATCATTGAGCCTACCTAGTGGCAGTGAAAGTATGCCTTCTTTGCTGCTTCCATTGCATCCTCATTGTGCTGTCCATCACAGCTATTTTGGGTAGAGCAGGGACTTTTGCAGTCTGAAGGAGGTGACAGAACAAATGGTAGTTCAATGTCACTTATTTGCAAAGCATTTTAAGGATAAAATCACTTGCATTCACCAGGATCTTGACTCCTCTGTTATAGCAGATGAATCTCATGGGGTGTCCAGAGCACTGTCTGGTCCTGTTGTGTTGGATGAGTTGCAGTCGGTAAGGCTTGAGGTCAAGGTGCTTGGATTGGCCAAGGTGACCATTTGCACTTTGGACCCTTGCCCCTCATGGCTGATTAAAAAACTAGCAGGGAGTGGACAGCTGGCTAGGCCAGGAAGATGATTAATGGCTTCTTGTGAGAAGGGGTGGTCCCTACCTGCCTGAAGGAGGCAGATATAAAACCACTCCTCAAGAGACCCTCCCTGGATTCAGAAAATCTAAGTAATTACTGGCCAGTTGCTAATCTCCCCTTCTTGGGCAAAGTTTCTGAGCAGCTGGTCACGGGCCAGATCCAGGTGCTCTTGGAGGATGCTGATTTTCTAGATCCATTTCAATTGGGGGTTTAACCTAGTTTTGGCACAGAAACTGCTTTGGTCTCCCTGTATGATAGCTTCTGTTGGGAGAGAGAGAGGAGAAATGTATCCCTGTTAATTCTCCTCAACTCCTCAGTGGTTTTCGATACCATTGACCATGGTAGCTTTCTGGAGCAGCTGTCCAAATCAGCAGTGGGTAGCACCACTTTGCGATGGTTCTGGTTCTACGTGGATCATCATTTCCAAAGGGTGATGCTTGTGGAGTGTTGTTCTGCCCCATAGAGCCTTCAATGCAGGGTTCCTTTGTGCTCAATTTTATCTCCCAGATTGTTTAACATCTACATGAAACCACTGGGTGGGGTCATTCCAAGTTATGGAGTACGTTGTCACCAATATGCTGATGACACCCAGCTCTATTTCTCCTTTACATCTGCAGGTGAGGCAGTGGAAGTGCTGGACAGGTGTCTTGCCTTGGTAATGGACTGGATGAGAGCCCACAAACTGAAGCTCAATCCAGATAAGACTGAGGCACTGTTAGTGGGTGGTTTCCTAGACCAGTTGGGTGGGAGATTGCCTGCTCTTGATGGGGCTACACTTCCTCTGAAGGAGAGGGTACGTAGCTTGGGGGTACTCCTCGATCCTTTGCTGTTGCTTGAGGCTCAGGTGGCCTCAGTGGCCCGGAGTGCTTTCCATCAGCTTCGACTGGTGACCCAGCTACGCTCCTATCTGGACAGGGATAGCCTAACTACTGTTGTCTGTGCTCTGGTAACCTCAAGGTTAAATTACTGCAGTGCGTTATAAGTGGGGCTGTGAAATGACCTGTGATCCTCAGATGAAAGGCAGTATAGAAATAATAATAATAATAATAATAATAATAATAATAATAATAATAGATGAATAGTCTGGTCTGGTAAATATTTTCTGTGCTTGGTTTCTGTGCATCATTTTGCTGTTAAAGGCAGAGGAGCAGGAGCAGAATAAAAAGGTGGCAACAGTCACTGGGCATCTATTTCTGGCAAGCTTCTCCATTTGTTGAGCTCATCATCAAAAGCCCTTCTCTGGGCATCTTTGCTGACAGATGTTAAGGGGCTCCTGGCTGAAGGATAGAAGGTGCAACAAATAGACTTCTCCCCAGGAAAACTTGCCTGATGGTTCCTTAACGCAGTGCTCTTCAACCTTGGGTCTCCATATGTTGTTGGACTACAGCTTTCATTATCCCTGACCATTGGCTAAACTTTCTGTTGATAATGGGGGTTGTAGTCCAGCAACATCTTGGGGTCTCAAGAGTGAAAAAACCAAATGACACTGAACCAAATGCATCAGGTGTATTGTTCTGCTGATGCTGCCATGGAACTTGAAGTTTTATCTGTGAGTCTGAATTCCTGTAATTTTGCTTTTATTATTGCTGGTGTTTATTTTGTGTCTTTCCAGCCATGTAGCATCAGTTGCCAACCACCTCTCCGCACTAGAGTAAAGCAGGGCTGCGGTGCTGAGCCACCAGTCCACCTGCTGACCCAGCCAATGTGGCCCTTGACAGGCTGAAAGGAGCACTGGGCCTCACTGCACTGGGGTGCCTGCATGGAGTCGTCTGGTTTGCGCCCACTCAAAAACTGTGCTCCCGGGCCACGGCCCCCCTGGCACCCACCACACTATGCCCATGGGTTTTCCCAGATGATACTTTGTAGGAGGGGGCCAAATGCACTGTGCATTTGCACTGGGACACTTTTATTGTTTTAAACAAAAGAAGTCCCATGGTCACATCACTTCCTGGTGCAACTGGACTTCTCTGCGACCCTTCCCCTCTGCAGGGAGGTGGGACTGATTTGGATACTCCCCCGGTCCTGAAGGGGGTAACTGTGCCCCTGAAGGACCAGGCGCACAACCTGGGAGTCATTTTGGACTCACAGCTGTCCATGGAGGCACAGGCCAATTCTGTGTCCAGGGCAGCTGTCTACCAGCTCCACCTGGTACGCAGGCTGAGACCCTACCTGCCCGTGGACTGTCCTGCCAGAGTGGTGCATGCTCTAGTTATCTCCTGCTTGGACTACTGCAATGCACTCTACGTGGGGCTACCTTTGAAGGTGACTGGGAAACTACAACTACGTAATCCAGAATGCGGAGGCTAGACTGGTGACTGGGAGTGACTGCCGAGACCATATAACACTGGTCGT